TAATACATTTATATGCATATATTTTAGAAAGCCAACCCAGTCAACCATTGATTTTTAAATTCCTGATGATATGTAATATATTCGATTTACTTATAATTACAAGTTTATTACTCATTTGAATATTGGTATTTAGATTATTATTGCCATGCTACAATAATTCTCTAATTGATTATATATATCTTTACATATGTAAAAATACATATTTAAAGTAATTTCAACAATTTAGGCTCAATTTAGGTTAAACGTTTGCCTGATTTATCATTAATGCTGGATAGACGTAGATTGTTGGTGAAATGGTTGTTAGTGAGGTTTACTAAAAACTTAACACCTCTACTAAGTTAAAGTACCTAAATTTCTTAAAAAAAGTATGTTATTATAACTGATAAAATATATAAAAAAAAAAAATTTTTAATCAATTGAATCATTCATGTAATATTAACAGTTTGGATTTGGTCTTTTGTAAATAGCTGCTCGATACGTAAGTATCGAGGCAGCTTTTGTCTCGAATCATGTGATATCCGATCGAACATGTGATAGACCCGGTTACGATCACATGTTCGATCATTGATAAAAGTATGGTTAGTGATTAGTCTTAGTAAAGTAACCTATTAATTATGAGGTAATTGGATCATAGTATATTAGTAAGTGGGAAAATAATGGGAATTAACTCTTTTCAGAGAATCTGACTTTCGTTCTGGTTATATCCACCCTACTCATATTAGAGCGACGCATAATTTTGAGACCTGCCGGGACGGCAGTCATAAATTAGTACCCTAGCCATGTTGTCGCTAAAATGAGATTCTACTTGAACAGTCGCATTCTGATTGGGTGAAATTATTCAATTGTAATTTCAAGCTTTTAATAAGGATATCTTGACAACCACCTATATGAAATCGATGAAAAGTTATTTATTCTGATTCTATATATCTATATAATTAAAATAAAAAAAATTTCACCGATTTTAGATAAGTGGTTGTCGAGATATTTTCGCTCAAAGTTTGGAAAAAACCTTGCCACAGCTTTGTTTTGATAGGTATCCAAATTTCTAAACTTTGAGCGAAGATATCTCGACAACCACCTATCTAAAATCGTTGAAATTTTTAGATAGGTGGTTGTCGAGATATCTTCGTTAAAAATTGGAAAAGAATTAATTACAATTGAATAATTCCGCCCAATCAGAATGCGACTGTTCAAGTAGAATCTCATTTTAGCGACAAATTTTTTCGCCATGGCTAGGGTACTATATGATTTAAAATGAATCTCGATCATTAAATATTATTAATGATCATATGAAATTTTAGAACTTTTAATTTTTGGAACAGGAAAAATGTCTGTTCCAATCCCCTTAGAAATACGAGATTACATTTATAAATTAGGATTACAAATAGAATGCTCAGATACGGTACGCATGTAGTATGTAACTACATATAGTTAACTCTATAACAAACTTTTTAGAAAGTATATACTGTCAGATGCAACTCATTTGGATCAAAACTTTCGATATCATGCATTTAGAGAACAATAAGAAAAATTACGGTCAGAATATATTTGGGCCAAAGTTTGAGGTTGCATTTAAAGAGGTATTGCATTTAAGGGGTTTGCATCTGACTGTATAGTGAAAGCTCTAAGAAACTTTATTATAGGGAATGTTGACTATGTCAATAGTGAATGCATTCAACTAAATAACATTTTTTGATTAGGATAACGCGGTGTCAACATTTAATATTTTGGCCGAGGAGGGTCGAAATGTCGCTGCTGCGTTCTTAACAATTAATCCTACACGTTACAAACATAGTGATCCTAACGAATAATAAAAAAATTGGCTAAAGCTAATTTTTACGATAATTACAAAAAGTTTTTTTCTTTTGTATACAGTCAATTCTTTTTTTATAACGAACCTGCTTATACCAATCTAGATTCGGCAACACCGATTTTTTTTTTACTGTATAATAATTTGGGCCGAACTCAAGTAGTAAAATTTTTATGCTTCGTATCGAACACTTCCTTTACCAGCCCGTGACTATGTACATTAGAGTGTCCAGGATTATAATATTTGCATCGCATAATTAATTAAGTAAAAAGGCATAAATCACATGGGTAGATTGTGATTTCGAAATGAATTAAGCATGCTTTGACATTAAAATTGCATATTCCATGAAGTTCTGATGCAAATTATGAACCTAATTCAGAAATTATGAGCAAAGGCTTTTGATCACTGTCGAAAGATTCTGAGGGATAAATAGACATATCGATATATGGTATATATACTGTATATTACCAAATTATTTCGCATAACTTTAAAGTTATACCGCATCTACAATACAATTGACCTTCGTCATATTGCATAATTTACTACGTTGCATCGCATATCCATATTTTTGATCAAAAATTTTGGTAATTTCTAAATTTATCGAGTTCTCAAGCGTAAGTTGTATTCTTATTGATCGATCAAGTGTAACATTTATTACAAGTTGCTACTGTAGGTTATATTGATTAAGGTTTTTTTTATGCTGTGTTATCTTATTCGATCTTAAAATACTATATATATACTATATATATATATATATATATATATATAATATATATAAATATATATATAAATATATATAAATATATATATATATATAAATATATATATAACTCTAATATTAATTCTGATATTATAAATAATAATTTACAAATTTGTATAAATTTGATAGGAATTTAAATTAGATTATACAATATACAATATTAATGAGTGCCGCCAAGAGAAAACACCAATAGATTAGATAGACTACGTCCTATACAAGATAAATTGAAAGCCCGATGACAGGTTTTCCCTTGAAGGCACGACAATCAATTCCCCGACATAAATATTTTACTACACTTCCGAATTTCAAATTTTGATATCCGTAATTGAAGTGTAATAAAATACTTATTATCGGTGAAATGATTGTCGGCAAAATAATTGTCAGCGAATCATTGCACTGCTAAAATCATGGTCTAATTAGATCATCGATGTGCCGTTTAGGTATCGGAATTTTAAATCAGAAATTTTTTTAAATCCAATTATTAGCTTCATCCGACAACAACACCCGATAATATATAGTTATTGGATGCGAAGCAGCCAATAATTATAAAATATTGGTCATGCAGCGATGAAATTTGTTCTGATAGAACAAATTTTATAATATTTATCATCGCATGATCCAATATCGATGTCATCGTGCAATTATGATCATGCTTTACAAGTCATTATTGGCTAGGTTTTAATTCGAGATTGTTGTGCTTATTACAAAAAAAAATCCATGATCATAAGAGTTTGCACGATAATAATATATTACCTAGGCCTATCTTATGATTTCACATAAGTAGTACTAGAGAAAACAATTTTGATCACAAATATTTGCCTACAAACGGTTTAAGGGATATGTAATATAAAGAATTCTAATAACTTTATTTTATTAAAAATAAAATTAGATTAAAATTACAAATATTTAATCAGTACGTACTGTATTGTACACAGTATATATACTACTGTATAAAAATTAATAAAAAGTTTACAATTAAGTTGTAATTTTTAAATAAATAATACAGTATTCTATACTATATTGTATATCAATAGCTAGTTATATTGTATTTTTATATATAGTTAGTATATTTTTTATGCTAAATATAAATAATTTATAAAAATCAGAATTTAGATTTAGTTAGCTAATATGTAGTATTATATATATATATTTATATAAGAACCCCCAAATTTTTAGCTTTAGCTCCTCATAATAATCAATTTGTAAACTATATATATAGTTATATAGTATTACTAAACCCTTTGACCAACTAGTCAAATTGGTCAAGCTTGACCATTGACCTGTCCGTGCCAACCCTGATAATTATACAGTATATACAGTATATCTTTTAGATACTGTTTTTTTTTTATCTACAAAAATTAGCCAATCACAGTAATGCTGGGTTTAAAACCCGGCCCAATATTTTAGCGGGCTAGTCCAATCCTGGTCAAAATTATAATGAGCTCAAAAAGTCGAACCAGAACTTCGGTCCAGCCCACATGTCTATTTCGGACCCTACTTGGAAGTTTAAACGATCATCAAGCAAGAATGACAATGACGTTAAGAAAGAGCTACCGGCCAGACTAGTCTAGATGATGGAATGGTTGATGAGCACACAGAGATCGGCCAAGCTGGCTAAGCCCGATAATCTTTAAAATGTATTACAATTCTCTTTCTTGTACGAATTATCAAGCACTCTTAATCTAGTGATACAAAAATAAAGAATTACCGTTTAGACCATATAAAATTAATTAATTGACTTTCATAACCCCAAACTTGAATTTTTTTTTTTATATTTTAATTAGCAGGGCGAAAATTTTATAAAATCATTTTTTTAAAAAAAAAATTAAAAAAAAGAAATCATTCGTTCTAAATTTCATTATGTAGAAACCAAGAAAAAATTAACTTTGTATGGACTTATATTGTACCAAAATGACGAATTTTACGAGTTATTCCCAAACTCTTGGCGTTATTGAACGTAAAAAGTATACATATTGTTTTTTTTTTTGATCAACATGGAGGAAAACTAATGCTTGTGATAGGTTCGCTAACAAATTTATTACCAATTTTTGAGTCATAATAATAATAATAGAATATAATTAGTATCACCTAATATATAATAATATTTGTTTGTTGATGACCTTATTATGCAACTTTTCATAACTTCTTTAGGGAGTTTCGAAAATTATGATTAACTTATTAAATTAATTTTATCAATGTGTTTGAACTACTTTTTTGGTAAGAAATCCAAATTCGTGTACCAATCTCATCGAAGTTATTATTCATGTATTACTGCATAATTAGTATGGCGAATTTTTGAGTACAAGTATCAACCAATTTTTTATGATGAATAGGTTTTAAACTTGTTACCACGATAATTTCGTGGCCATTCCTATGCTCCAATTCTACCTTCAACGGTGAATACACCATACCTCACCCTCCCTTCCCGCAATGTTCCCGTTCAGCGAGCATCCTGACTGTATATCGGAGGACCGACCTGCCGCTGAACTTACTATCCCTATCCCCAATGCGGAAGGAGGGTTGGGAAATCTTAAATTCTTTCTTTATTCCTCCCAACCTTCCCGGTCAACGAAAATTTTCAAAAGAGTTCTACAAAATTTTGTTAATATAAATGGATTCAAAGTTAGATATCACCATAAGGCCATTGTAATTGGTTCTAAAGCCTACATAATAGGTGGTCAAAGCTCTTTAGATACCGTAGGCTCTGACATAACAAGTTTGCTTGTTATGGATTATTCAACGTTGACTGTTAACGAACAGAATCCAAAGTTATCCGTGACTGGTCACGATGTAGTTCCAATAAGTGACTCAAAATTTCTGATATTGTTCGGTACAGAAACAGAAACTCCTTTAAAGTTTACGGATCCCGTTCAGCAAGTTGACATACAAACAGGTGTTGTAGATACTCTTAATATAAGTGGCTCGGTTTCAACTCGGTATGCTCACACTGCTACTGTGGTCGACAATAAGGTCTATGTGTTAGGCGGTATAAGTAACAGTAATATTCTTGGTGATGTTATGTATTTGGATCTTTCATCTTATAGTTGGAATACTATTAACAATACATCTCAAATCGCTGGACATTCAACTTTGGCGATTGGAAATTATTTAATATCTTGTTTCGGCTTTGATTCGAACCTTAATCTTAGAAATGATTGTAATGTTTTTGATACTTCAACTAATGTTTACGTACCATCTAATATTTCTGGAACGATACCAGCACCTCGTTCTTATTCATCTATGGTTTCTGCTGATGATAATGATAAAATTATTTATGTTTTTGGTGGATTTGACAAAGATTCTCATGGATATAATGACCTTTATATTTTAGATGCATCAAATGCTCCTGATTTATCTTGGTCTTCTGTGTCTGTTAGTGCAAAAGTAGATCAATCTTTAATACCATCACCTCGAGGCGCTCATAGCGCGTTTGTAAAATCAGGTTTAATGACGATTTGGGGTGGTTATTCTAATACAACCAATATAACCATAGCTGATGGGAGCTTATATTTCTTTGACATTAAAGCTAATATGTGGGTCAATTCTCAAAATTTAAATGATAGTTCAATGACTTCACAATCTAATGAAAAAAGACCTAATGCTTTAATATGGGATATTATTATTGGAGTCGCTTGTATT